GTAAAAATGGCTTTATTTCCTGTTTGGGAAAGTGAGAGAATCGTCCCATCACAAAAAAAAAAAAAAAAAAGACGCAAATATGAATATAAACAACTTATGTCCTGGCAAGCCATTTGCCTTTTGCTATCTCCTAAATTCAATATATTCACACTGTGCACTGGTGAGTGAGGAAAGTGACATGTGATTTTAGCACTGGTCTCTTTCAGGTTTCCAACTTTGGCATTGCACCCACAAAAGAAGGAAGGGATGGCAGGACCTCTTCTCTTCGCTACTACAGTACTACTAAGCTATGCTATGTTTATTACCTTTTCAATCTTTTCTTCAATTTTTTCATTGATTCAGTTCGTTCACTTTCATTCACTTCTAACTTTTCTTTCATTCAACTCATTAAACTTCGAACTGCCTGGTTACTGGTTGGCTCCAAATTCCGATTCATATTTACTACAGGCTAGCTAGGTCGTCGTTGCACACCAAATTTATTTACCATACAATGTGAAATGTATCACCTTAGTATCTTACTTGTTACTTACTAGAAGTACATGATGTAAAGAAAGGGTCTATTTTTTTTTTTTTTTAGTACATCGATATTTTTACACTAAGGGGAGGGGGAGTTCGGCTAAGCCACACGATGGGCAACCTAATTTGGTATCGAAGTTGCCATCCACGAGATTCGAACCTACGACCTCTCACTTCCAAGTGAATAGGAATACCACCAGCCGTAGTACTGAGTAGCAAAATGGTCCATATTTGAATAAATACAACACAAACGAAACTACTTTCTCAGCTGATCTTATCTTTAACATGATGTGAAACTCATGAGATTATGGGAAAATGGAGAGATCAATCCTATGTGACTGGATTTGGATAATGGTTGGTTTTATATATACTAGCATATGGGCACACACAAAGTGTGAAATTTTTTTTTATTTTTGTTTTTGAAATAGAAGGAGAGAGGAAGAGAGTGATAGAGAATATAGGGGTGGGAAGTTTTTTTTTTTAATTTTTTATTTTTGAATTACAGATATTGTCACATCCCAGCCCGGGCGGGACCACTTCCCAGGCTCGACTCTACCGTAGCACGATATTGTCCGCTTTGGGCCACAAGCACACCCTCACGGTTTTGTTTCTGAGAACTCACACGAGAACTTCCCGATCGGTCACCCATCCTGGGAGTGCTCTAGCCCCCCTCTCGCTTAACTTCAGAGTTCCTACGGAACCCGAAGCCAGTGAGCTCCCAAAAGGCCTCGTGCTAGGTAGGGATGAGAAATACATTTAAGGATCACTCCCCTGGGCGATGTGGGATGTCACAATCCACCCCCCTTAGGGGCCCGACGTCCTCGTCGGCACACACGCGACTAGGGTTAGGCTCTGATACCAAATTGTCACATCCCAGACCGGGCAGGACCACTTCCCGGGCTCGACTCTACCGTAGCATGATATTGTCCGCTTTGGGCCACCAGCACACCCTCACGGTTTTGTTTCTGAGAACTCACACGAGAACTTCCCGATCGGTCACCCATCCTAGGAGTGCTCTAGCCCCCCCCCTCTCGCTTAACTTCAGAGTTCCTACGGAACCCGAAGCCAGTGAGCTCCCAAAAGGCCTCGTGCTAGGTAGGGATGAGAAATACATTTAAGGATCACTCCCCTGGGCGATGTGGGATGTCACAGATATTTTAGGATTACATGTAAGTGAGGCTTTGAAAAACAGCAAAATTTGGTTGTGTGAAATTACATTTATGCCCCATATTTCTTATTCATATTCTGTTTTAATTAGAAGGTTAAACTGGTAATTTCATAGGGTTTTGGTTGACAATGAGTGTTTTATTAATTAGTAGATATATATAACATTTGTCTTCACACTTTGTGTGTATGAACACATTTTTTAGAAAATGAGAAGGAGAGAGGGAGGGAGAGAGAACGGTGGGGGGGGGGGGGGGAGGGGGGGAGTGGGAGGTTTTTGCTTTTGGTTATTTTTTTTTTTTTTTAATATTAGAGATATTTTAATATCATGGGACTTCAATAAAAACAGTAAAATTTGAACCTGTAAAATTACATTTTTGCCCATCATTTTTTTTTTTATTTGTGATAGAAGATTAAGTTATCTTTTCATCCTTTTTGGTTGATAAAAATGATTTCATTAATTAATAGATATATATATATATATATATATATATAATTTGCACTATAAAATTCTCATTTTATACTCTAAATTTTTTATACTTAAAAATACAAATATGTGAGGATAAACCTAATTGTTGTTACCATGATCCCGAGACCACCACTATAGCAGGTGATGAAAGAAGACTTACTGGAGCCGCTATTGTAGTAGTTAAAAAAAAAAAAAAAGCTTCTATCACTCAAGACCTTGTGTACTTCGAACTTTTTTTTTTTTTTTTTGGTGAGCAGGAAATTCCTTTAACTACATAAAACAACAACTCCCATCTATCAAGGAGGGTTGGTTTATAACTGTTGTGTCCAGCTCCAAACGTAGTGGGTAGTACTTGCTTTCAAGCACGTTCAAATATGTCCTCAATTATAGGATGCTGTTTTACACGAATAACAACTCTAATTACTTTTGTATTTTTTTTAACATATGATATTATCTACACTAGAGGGGAGGTGAGCTTACCGTCGCAATGAGCTAGCAATAATGTGGTTCAAATTCGCCTTTGGTGAGAATCAAACCTAAGACCGTTCACTTACAAGAAATAACATTATACCATAGTACTAAGTGGCAATTTATTTTGTATTTTAAAACATAATATTTTCCTTTATCCTTATTAGTTAAGTCCAATTAGAATTCTAACAAAATACATCGGTAAGGAGTGCAAAATGAAATTTTTAGAGTGCTAATAACAGTTTATATATATGTGTGTGTGTGTGTGTGTGTGTTAGGATACGGGGACACACATCTTTGACATCCATTTTGTAGACCCATTCCCTAATGTGTTTCACAATTTGAACCGTCTATATTTGAGTATATCATTCATAGATCATTACTTAAAAAAATTAGATAAATTCAAAATCATTAATACATTTATTTGTAGTGAAGAAAATGGACGAATATGGTTATACAAAGAAACACTAAATTTAATCCAACGGTCATATAGTTTCGGATTTGGTGAAATTTTATAGACGTGATCTTTGAGGTAAGACACAAAAGATAGACGGTTGGATAGTTAAAATACATTACGGAATGACCCCCCATAAAAAAGTGTGTGAAAATATATGAAAAAAATTTGTGGACCCGAATCTGAACCCTCTATATATATATGATGTATGATCTTCATCAACTAGCTATCACTCTCTTATCGGAAAAAATTATCTATCCCCCTTTTGAAATTTTTTTCTGTTTGTTGAAAAATGTCCAATTTAATTTGAATTCCTACTAAGGCTACTATAAACCCCAAATTGAAAAAGAAAACTTCCCGTCAAGATTTTCATTTTGTGAATGGTCCTAGCTCCTATAGATGTTAATAGGCAATAGGGTATATCACAAAAAGTGGCTAAATGTTCTATTGCAAATTGTTTCTCTGGTGGTCTTGGTGGGTAACAATATTTTTGATGGGAAATGTCGTCTACTGTGGGATCCTGCACCATGCAGGGTAAATAATATATATACATATATATTATATATAATACAATCAATATCAACACCCTGCACTAATGTTTTTTTCTTTGTTATGATGATGTATAATCAAATTATATATTCATATCAATATCAAGAATCTTTATTATGTTAATTCGTCAGTCTATATGTATGCATCCATTCAAGTTTTTTTCTTTGGCTAAGGCATCAGTCAATAGATGATTAGTTGACGGCTTGAGGAAATAAAAAAGTAAAATTTGACAAATATACTGATTTTTCACTGGTAATCTTCATTAAGTTTATGTAAATTAACCACAAGATAATAGATTTGAATTTAATTAAGTGTATATAGAGTAGCAAATTGTCCTAAGTAGCTTGACTAATCTCTCAAGTCTACAACGAGTAATTGAACTTAAACTGAAAGTATGAAGACAATAAACGGGATACCAAAATCTCTGCCATAGATTTGAAGTTTTGAACATCACCACTATTTTGTTAAAAGAATCAAACAACAAGACAAAGAAGGAAAAATCGATTAGAAACTCAAATTATTAATTATTCACTAAATAAGAAAGAAGAACACTACATATTTGTCGCTCCATAACTCAATTTGTCTGTATCTTGACATACTTAATTATATATTTTGAGTTACAAGGGCTGTGTTTATAAAGACCTAATTCTAAAAACAAACAAGAAATATAAAAATAGGGAAAGAATCATAGTCCTTACCTCACTAGAAAACCATAATACTCTAACATAATACATAATACATAAATACGTACTAGGATAATGCTTGTGACCGACCGCGTGCCCATGGAACTTAATTATGTGTCCCCCACTTATAATTAACAAACTTTTACTGTCTGAACATCATAATCGGAATCGTTCATTATCGTTATCATTTCTAAATATCATATTTGTAAAAAGTCATTCAATTTCGAGGTTGCTTAATCATTCATACGTGTTAAACCAATCAATGATTTTAGTAACAATTAGCATTCTCATGATGAATGGTCAATTTGTTTAGTGGCTAAAATGTCTCCAAATTGAATAATCATAAGTGGAAGAACAAATAAGTCCGTGAAAGGACAAAAGCATTATCCTACCAAAAATACTCTAGCTTAAAAAGAAACCAAATTGCTAGTTAGTTTTTTTCCAACCAAATTTACTTGGGAAGAAGGTAAAAGAAAATTGGAGCATAAATGGGATCTTTTCTCGAGAAAATGGCGAGATGTTGAGTCAATGTCTTTTTAGCAAAGTTTGTGGTTCGTACTTACGTCTAACTGAGTTCTGCATTGCAATTAAGTGCAGCTAGCAGAAGTACGATGTTGATGACTAGTAACTTTAGATTTCCTTTTGACGCTATCCACCTAGCCACTTGTCCTAATCTATAAGTGCCTCCTACTCAGCCCTTCATATCATCACAAACCCCAAACTTTCATCTTACAACCTCATCTACTTCTTCTTCTTCTTCATCTTCGAACTGTAGCCTTTTCTTTTTCTTTCCAACATGAGCATGGAAGAGAAAGTTACCATGGACTTCATTAATCAGCCATCTGAGAACCTTTGCTATGTTCGGTGCAACTTCTGCAACACTGTCCTTGCGGTAATCAAACCTCTGTGTGTGTGTGTATATGTATATGCATGATATATATAGGTTGTGCACCTTTATATATATGTTGACGAACTCCAATTAAAATAAAACCCACATTCTCTCTCTATCAATAAGTATCACTTACAGAATCATGCCCTAACATTATTTACTTTTCTCTCTTCTCTAATCTGCCAGCTGCTGTTTATTGTTTGTAAATATATATATATATAGTTTTGGAAAGAAAAATAAACTTGTTTTTAACTAATTAATTGGATGTTTCTCTAGGTTGGGCTTCCATGCAAAAGGTTGATGGACACAATAACTGTGAAATGTGGCCATTGCAGTAACCTTTCCTTTCTCAGCACCAGATCCCCACTCGAAGGTCAATGCCTTCCTGATCACCCCACCTCCTTGACTCTTCAGGTAAATATTACTAATTACTCTGCTAGCTAGTTTCTCTCGATCATATATACACATAAAACCATAGATGGTAGTCACATCCGTTGACATATACATAATCAGTACTATATATATGTATACATTTATGCCACAATATGTGAACGCCAAACCTGCGTTGGGGTAAAAGTTTTCTTATACATATGTATGATATGTTCCTGGCTAGTGATATATCTCTCTAGGGTTTTCCTACGGTATAGTATAAACCCTAGTGATATATATATATATATATATCTATGCATAAGAAACCAGAAGAAATTAATTAAGAAACCATATCTCTATTTGTGTGTGTTGCTAACTAAGGAAAGTGATCAATATCTGAATGAGAAGCAGGCGGGCTGTTGCAATGACTTCAGGAAGGGCCAATCCTCCTCATCATCGTTGTCACCTGTATCAAGCAACCCACCATCCCCCAAAGCACCCTTTGTTGTCAAACGTACGTACAAGTTTACAACCACATTTCACGAGGCTTAATTAGTCAATCCCTTAATTTAATGATAGCTAGATTTAAATATAATTAAACGAGTTGTTACTCTTCTATGGATTTATGGTCAATCTGCTTATAAATTACATGTCGATATGTTTTTGGTTTTACAGCACCTGAGAAGAAACACAGACTTCCATCTGCTTACAATCGGTTCATGAAGTAAGGAGATCCATGCTAAGCCATCTTGATTAATTAAATATTATATTGTGCTGTTAATTTACATTTTTTGTTCTTTCACATTGACATTTTGAAGTAACCTCGAGGGAGGCTTTATTCGTGAATCAAAGATGCATGTAAAGCGTGAAATTAATCATTAAGCATCATACATGTCACCATAATCGAAAACTCTAAGAAAATTATGCAGATCGATATCACAAATAACCAAATTAATGCATCGCTCTTTGTGTTTTTGATAGAGATGAGATCAAGCGAATCAAAGCAGCCAACCCAGAGGTTCCACATCGTGAGGCTTTTAGTGCTGCCGCAAAAAATGTAAGGTTCCCTTTTTCTGCTGTCTAGGGTTTCAAACTTTCAAGTACAAATATATATAGATTTTTGCCAAAAGTCGTGTTTATAATTTAAAAAATATCCTAACTTTGCTGTATCAATATATAATCTTGTATTATAGTGGGCTAGGTGCATTCCCAGTCAGTCGTCTGCAGGATCAGGTTCTGGGAGCTGCAGCAACAACAACGTAAGTGACAATACCTTGCTTTTCTGTTTATATTTTGAATATTGTTCATCTTAGATTTTTTTTTCACTTTCTATTTTTTGTGGCATGAAGAAAGTTGGGTTTAATTTGCCTCTCTGATTGATGCTTTCAAGGGCTCGGATTTTGCAGGAATGAACATGCTAGCTACGTGCTGCCAAAACCCTAAAACGCCACGACTACATGGGTATCATGGAGATCTTAAATAACCATATCCGCAGCTGCTTCCTACCTACTTCATCCCTCATTAGCAGTTCAGCGTGCGTGCAATTAATTAAGTACTCTCGTTTAGTTCGTGTTTAGAACTTTGACCCTCCTTACTTTTCGTTTCTTTTGTTCATGAACTTAATTTCCGTGCTAAGAGTACTTTGATTGGTGTTTGGTAATTTGTATTGAATTAGAATGACTGATCAGTGTTCTAATTTTGTATTATTTGATGCTTTTATTAATTTAACGTTTTGAGTTTCACCATTAGTTTCTCATTTTATATATAGCTTTTTCAAATCTCTTGTAATATTTTCATGAAACCCTAGCTAATACCAAATCCTAGAAAAGATATGTTATGTGCAAGACCGATGAATTATTTTCTTATAATTATTCTGTTATACAACAATTATCGTTCATAAGATTTCAGCTCATAACCTTCTTATTCGAAAGTATTGAGAAACAAGTGTAATTAAAAGTGCTTTTGTGAGAGTAAAAGCACTTCCTTAATGAGTACAAGTACTTTTCTTTTTAAATTGATCGTTGGCAAAAAGGCCTGATCACCATTTACAGATTGGTTATAGTGGGCTTTTCGATAGCTTCAACTCAATCTCCTGAGCAGGCAGGGATTCTTGTACTTCGGCTTTCTTTTGGATTCAAAATAACTTATATCAACTAGAGATTAGATATTTGACCTTTAAACATCCCTCAAAATATAAAACAATGTTTACACTGCAAGGTTCGATTAATTAAAAAGAGTTCATCGAAGTGGCTTTAAACGGAAAGGGATCCTCTCCGGATCCCTTCTTCTTAATTCATCAAATCAGGAAATCTGTGTCATTGAAATTTGATCGAACGGCTACAAACAAGACCCACTTTAAAAGTTATAATAACTTCATCCATTAACTCAATTTTTAATAGCACAAATTTCCTAATTTGATGGATTATGAGGAAATGATTTGACGCTTTAAACCACGTCATTCCTGATGTCAAATGCTTGCTACAACATTGATATGACATTTGGATTAGGTGCTTGATTTGACAGGTGCAGACAAACATGCACACGAATCTTCCTCCTCAATCTAAAGATTAATGATTTAATCATGTCCAATGCAAAGACAAAGCCCTTCATACTTTTATCTCCAAGTTGTACATATGGATTATATATACACATAAATTGCTGCATAAAATAAGCAGGCTCATAGTGGCGTCTGATGGCAGCAGTATTTTGTAACTTTCAAGGATGATTGCATTCCAAATCTCATGATTGATGCATAAATATAATTAATTAAAAGTAGTGATTAGGCAATAGTGAGCACTAATTGTTGGTGGGTTTCAAGTCTTCAACTTTGAAAGGCGGATATGAGCGTCGGCCATTCCCACCTTTTTGGCTTTAATTGGAAGTGATCAAGGTTCACTGGAAAACATCAATAGTGGAGTTCTTTTTTTAAATTTCCCTTTCACTTCTGTGATCACAAATTCTAGGGTTTTGGGATAATGTAAAAAAGTAGAACTATAGTGGACATCAAAATGATCATTCAATTCACCAAAACATTCATGCATGCTGCTGCAGCAGAACTGTATTGACTAATCAACTTTTAAACAATAAAACTAATTGAATATCAGTAGTGTACATATAGTGAATTTTCAAGTTTAGTACATGAATAACACAAAACGAGTGACGTAGAGCATGTGTGGTCGTTGAACTTTAAGCGTGAGATAACTTACTCTGATACTATGAAGAAAATTGAGATTGCACCTAGGGATAGCAAATCTAACTGTTAAACCCGATAACCATGAATAACCGGCCGAATTGATTGGATTTGGTATGAAAATTTAGATATATTTTGAATATGGGGAAAAACCGTGAATTTATTATTTGGCTATGGTTTTGGATATGGTTATAGAAGTTCCCAATCTGTATCTGTCCCTGAATTCCACCTGAATAATATATAATATAATAAATGTATGTATATTCATTATTTATTGAATCCATAGAATAGAAAAGTTGCATTGTGTGAGTTGCATTTTGTGAGAAAGTTCAAAATTTTTGAGTCAAAATCAATGAGAATTCAATGGTACTTAAGAAAAATATCAAAGTTAGCCAACATCATCAATGTTTAACTTTAATTTTTATACTCCACAAGGTCCGTTCATTGAATCATTTAATTATATATCAAATATTTAATAACGAAATTAATATTTACTAAATTATAATGCGTCAACTAAACTATTAGATTTTTTGTATTGACGAGATGGATTAATTGTTATCCGATGAGAAATCCGTTATCCAGTAGGTATGGTTATGGATACTTAATTTGCAGTTATGAATATGGTTAATTTTTTTGGTTATGGGGATGGATATAGCGTTTGCGTCCTCAAACCGAACTATTGACATCCCTAGTTGCATCATAAAGCTAATTAGCAATATCTTAAGCACATGCAAAGTCTTTTGTTTTCCTAATGTGTGATTCATAATTTCAACACCAACAATAAAGAAGTTAATCAACTTGAGATTAAGATTCACTTAAGTCACCAAGTCATCGTGTAGCAATGTCTACTAGATGGATAGTGCACTTTTTAAACACGTGACAATATTTATTAGACGGTGACGCAACTGAGACTGCATCTTAGTTGCATGAAAGAACCTCACCTTTTGTCACACCCAAAAAAAAAAAAAAAAAAAATCTTACCTTGATAAGGGTAATTCTTTTTGTGTAACTAGATTATACCCCCATTTCACAGAGAGATTTTTTCAGTGTGACCAGAACACAGGGTGGTACACCACGTGTCTCTATACAAATGATGTGATATGTGTGTTAAATGATTAATAACTTAAAAAATAAAATTTCCCACCACTTGCATAAAAACACCTGCCGTATCCCCATGTTCCCGTCACAATAAAAAATTTCTCCATTTCATATTAAGTGATCAAGGGGATACTAATGTGCGATTATATCCCGGTTGCAGCTGAGAATTGTCGTTGGACAGGCATGATATCTTCCAAAACATCAATCATGCTTATCCATATGGCCCAAGAGCAAGAGCACGTGTACTTTGAACACCATCCCAGAAAATTGAACCAATACCAATGATAGTGTAATTTAATATCTTAAATCATTTGATTACCATAAAGTTTGCAGATAACTAACGTAACACAAAGGTGTCTACAGCAATTTACAAAAAATCCGGCTTACAGAGCTTTTACCACATAAAAACTAGATAGCTATATTTTCGTTTCGGAATAGAGTGTTACTGCCAATGGTATCTAAAGTTTCTACCAGCCTCTGTATGGAAATGTTGGAATTCTGCTGAAGATCCAAACTGCCTCCAGCCTCCAGCAACCTGCACAATCGCGAACACCGTTTTTAATCAAATCCGCTCGAATATCCTGTGCATAAAGTTATATAAACGCGGAGATATAGCCAGCAATTTCATGGTTTTTATTTCATCCCTAATATATGCAACAGTTATCTCCATTAAGCTGCTACTCGCTTTCCGATGACCTTTTCAAGCTGGGAATGCACTCCCACTTTCACAGGGTGTGATAAAAGAAACAAGGACAGATTTTAATTAGTGGAAACACTCACATAATCACATTGTTGCTTGCACGCCCGTCGGGAAACAGTAGAATTCTCCATTTTCCTGCTTTACTTGAAAAAAGTCTCTCTCATGCTCTACTCTTTGAAGGTGTGATGACAATTGCCGCAAATCAAAAGTTCGTTCAGGAGAAACACAATACTTGTCACTTAAGCAATCTGACACATGCAAAGCCCTGTCTGTGTGAAGTTGGAAGTCAGCAGCATACCTAGAATCAGAAATTTTGATTGATTCCATATGGTCGGCTCCCATAGATTTCATACTAAACGGGTAGGACCTGTTTCGTCCACAATTTTCCATGGAGTTTACCCTCGAAGTCTTTTCATTAAGTTGACCAAAACTGCGATGGGCACTTTGATTTGTCAGGGGGCTAGGCACTTGAACTCCAGCTGAATTGCTTGATAAGTTATGCGATTGAGCTGACAGAAGAGAGTGAGCACAGCTCGAGTATGCAGTCTCAAATGCTTTCTCAGCGGTTGATGCTGTATCAAAGACAGAGTATTCATTTCCTGACGAGGGACTTCCCAGAGCATGCTGTTCTCCAAGGCCAGGCAGATGGCAGAATGATTTTGGAATAAACTGCCTGTTTGGTATAGGTGTTACAGACTGGCCGTAGGTTGACCTGTCTTCAGATTTGACACGTCCATATAGGTTAGCTTCTTCATATTCTGGATACTGAATGCAGCCATCTGGAAGTATATCCGAAAAAACAAAGGGTGTTCCCTTTGAAAAGGAAGTTCCCATATACCCGTTTCCTGCAAATACGACATAAAAGCTAAATGTAAAAAACATAGTTCATGAAGTAATCCTATCATGGAATTAGATCTACAGATCACATATTACTTTGAGTGTTTTACGATGGGAAGTGTTATTGGCACTCCAAAAATCTCATTCTACACTCCTCACAAGTGTATTTTTCTTTCCTAATATAGAAAATTTGCAGTGTAGAATGAGATTTTTGGAGTGCCAATAACAATTCCCTTTACAATAGATAATTTTATAAATGATTCCTTTACCATGAATGTGGCATGAATGTGGATTCTTAAGACAGAAAACATATATTCACCTGAATAACAAGTGCCTTTTGTTTGTTCTTACCGAATGTTTTAGGAACGATACTGTTTGCACACGCCTTAATCCTTAATGCCAATTAGTGCGTGCTTAGTGGATTCTAAGTGGGTTTGTATTGCTTCTCTTCCAAAATAAACTTCACAAAAATCTGGGGACAGAAAGAACTGAGAGAACCTCTGTGGATGGCTGATGTGGCCACACCCTTTTAGCCTTGATAGCTCAAAAGTTGGTTTTTTAAAATAGCATATTATAGGTAAAGACATGGCCTGGTCGAAAGATGGAAACATAGTGGGAGAAAAGAATAGCACAAAAGTTATCTTCTCTTATCTCTAAATTCTAGCCACAGACATGCTCAGACATGAAGGTTGTTCCATCACAATTTTTATCAAAATATATGCATTAAACATGGTTCTAGAATCTTGCAATCTTAGGAAAATTCTAAAGCTCTTTAGTCCCCTTCTAACAAAAGTAATACGGATCATTTTCCAGTTCTTTTTCCTTCTTACCGAAAATTGTATCGGTAAAAAATTTGTCAAAGTTCTAGCTTCGGAAGCATTGTGGCCGATTTATAGTAGAACAGAGTATATTTTAAAAGAAAATGTAAATTCAGGTGGGTTAGTGTGAGGCGTTTCACAAGCAGATTGAATATATGGGGGTGTTATACCTTCGCATGACCGAATCAACTTATGCGGTTTACAATCGAGGGTATCTAGTTGAGGCTTCCTTCGGCGAAGGTTGTGGCCAGCTAGGCGTCTACGACAACTGCGCTTCACAGCATCAAATTCAGCAAGAAGATGAAACCTAATCACAGAAAAATGACATTGTTCATATTTCAAACCTCTTGTAACAATTAAGCACTTTGGTATTCAATGCCACATGACTCACATGTATATAAAAACCATGTCAAAGTTGAAGAAGTAGATAAACTTGCAACTTTCTACAGCCCAAAACCTCATTTAGTTCATATCACTCGGAATCTTAGATAACTAGAGGTTAGAGAGATTCCTATTTGGACTGGGAGAAGATCATATTACTGTCCAATCAATGTCTTAGGATGTATTTGAGTATGAATGACTAAGGCATTAGAAAAAGAAAAAGAAAAAGCATGGAATCTCAAGATCGAGGTTGAAGCTGAAGTTGAATCGAAAAGAAGAGGAAATTTGTATCTCTTCGATTTTCAACTGTCAGATGGCGTGTCTGGGAATCGATCCCTCACCATGCACATGAGATCCTACTATGTGCCAAATCCTAAGAGCAATACTGTGGTGGAATGGTGAATCTGCAACATAATTTTCCTCTACTCTTTTTCACATTTCATATATACTTCTTGTCATTTTTTAATCCTCATAAAGCATAGTCAACAAATAAATTCATTACATAACCTCGAAAATAAACAATTGGGACTCGTTGGTTTATTCGGGTACAAAATTATGAAACGAACTAATACTAATCTTCCTATGATATATGCCAAGATAAGTTACTATAAACACATAAGAACAAGCAAAGTAAAAGTGAATGCAAAAGCAAATTTCAAAAAAAAACAAAAACAAAAACAGAACCAAACCTGCTGCACTGCTGGCAAAACCGCTGTTCGATTCCATTAACAATCACTATGGCAGTCTTGGAGTGAGGATCACAAACCCTATGCCTCTTGTGGTAATCCTTTGAAAAGGTAAGATCCATGTTACAACCATGGACTTGGCAGGTTGGAGCATGATAGTATGAACTCCTCATGCCATTGCCAGCTCTTTTCGACCTCTCTCTAGAAATCGAATGCTGACTGTTCTGCCCACCTCTGCTATCAGCAAACCCCCCTAGCTTCAAAGCAATCATTGATGAATCCATGCTATTAGATTCAGTCATAGGGCTCGAAAACTTCGACCCAGATTCCCCATCACCAAAAGATGAACTTGAACTAATCAAACAACAAGGTGAAGCTACAGAATTATAACTAGAACCATTACCCATCACACCATTCAAGATTTCCACTCCTTGGTTAATATCAGGGAATCCCAAATCCATGAACCCCATGCTATCAACTGATTCCTTACCAAAATTAAAGCAAGTTTTGTTATCCAATTCTAGCAATGATTTCCTAGTACTCCTTGAAAATGCATCAGTTGGCATATCCATTTCTTCCGTAAACAAAAACCCTTTCCCTTCTGAACCAAAACTCCAAGACTCCATAAGTAGAAGCAGAATCTAATTCAAGCAGTATCTGCAGTAATGTTAATTGATTCCTACCAAAATTCACAGAAGCAAAGGGTAAATTTATATTTCCAAATAAATCACAGGGAATGGGAAATGCAAGCAAATAATATCAATAACAATCAAAGCAATAGCATCAATTAATCAAACATATCTAGAAATCCCCAAAAACCCACAAACAAAATTCTGCATGGAATTAATCAAACCCATCAAGCAAAAAGATGAAACCATTGCTTCACTGACTAAGCAGTCCCAAAACTAGAAAAGAAAAATCATGCTCTTTTGGCTGCAGAGCAATCGGATGAACAAAGTAGAAAAAGGGAAAGTTTTTTATTTTAATGTGATACAAAAAGAAAGTTTAATGCTTCAAAAACAGTGAGCACAGGAAAATGTATAGCTTAGCTCCAGAGTTTCCCTCCATCGATTTTCTCAGCAACCAAACAGAGCCTCAAAACTCAAACCAAAATATACCCAGATTACAGAATCACATATTCCACCGACTTTCACATTTGAAATCACAGAAAGAAAATGAAATGTGTTCCAAGCTCAAATTTTTCTGTGAAAAAACTTGGAGGAAAAGAAGCAGTGAAAAGATCATATTTTTTTTTCTATTTTTTTTAGGAAGCAGAGAAAATAATACAGAACATCCATTTCAAGAAACAACTTAAAACCCATTTCACGTATGTGGGTTTTCGATGCTACAAAACTATATATGGTAAACAAAATGGCTGTTCAAAGATTCCCAACAAAATTTCTGCCCTTTTTCCAACATTTTCTCGGGAACCAAACAGAATATAAAATGGAAAAAGACAGCTGAAAAAGATGGTTTTTGCATACCAGATGAAACCAACAATGAAGGCCGGAGCGAGCGTGGAAGGAGAGAGAGAGAGAGAGAGGAGAGAGAGGAGAGAGAGCAATTCTCAGGTTTTGGTGAGGTCGAAGCAGATACACTGTGACTGCGAGTCAACAAGATTTTCCACGACCATATGCCTCGGGGTCTTTTGTAGCTTTTGAGAAATTATGAAATTCCGTTTTAGTACACCTTTTTGCATTTAATTACAGGGACAAAGCGGAGGATTAGCTCCGTTGTTCCTTTCCCTCCATACAAATGGGGTTAAACTTAACTAAGGGAATCGATTCGTTTAATTGTGCGTCCACTACATTCTGTGTGTTTGAATTTTGACTTGTGTTTGTATCCAATTGTACTTTTTGAATGTTATTTTGTGAAATCTGTAAACAATCAACCAATCAATAGTCCAAATTAATAATAATTTGTTGAAGCCTGTTTGCTCAGTGTTCAGAGCGGAGATTGTCCAAAGGCCTCTGTCCTCTCATCTTTTGGATAGATACAAGGGGCGCCATATCTTTTGGTTTGTTATGTTTTATTTACAAGTTTATTTTTACAACTGATTCGCATGCAACAAAATTATACTACTTTAAAATTCTAATCATGTACAATAAAATTACGTAACTACAAAAAAATATCAACAATCTAATATTGAACTCACTACAATGCATATCAACTTTAAACTCGAATCTCAACAACTACAAGTGATGGAGACAACAAAGGATATATAAATCCAGACGTTATTGGCAAATGCTAAGGGATGTGACCCTATTACGAGTTATAATTTAGAACAGATGTAACATATTTGTTGGCATGTGGGGATGTGGCCCATTTCATATATGAATTGGTGAACAATTTGATGGGGCACTTTCTGACATGGCCAAGCATGCCTCTCTATTTCTCTGCAATTGGTGCCTCTTTGTCCGTTTCACAGTGGACATTTTGTGTGACACATTTAATGATTTTGTGTGCAACCACTCCGAAAGCCCAATTCGAAAGGTCACATATTACAGCATGATTGGACAATGGCGTCACACATTCAAATTCCTTCAATCATGCATCAAAGTTTTCTAATTAGATTGTTTAATTAAATGAGTAAACAGTAGATTTATCCTTTGAATTTTCACCAAGTTTTTTATTTCTCTCTTGATTTTTTATATTGGAAAATTAAGAATTCAAACTAATTTTTTTAGCTAATTTGTCCCCTACCGTTGGTTTTTCATATATTTCTATTAAATGAGACCATATGCACAACATGTGAAGGTAATTAAGTCATTTCACTATTAAAAATGATTAAAAAAACTGAAAATAAATAAAAAAACAAAACTTTCCCTCTATTTTTTCTCGCTAATTCCTATGCTCAATTTTATTTTTCCCTCTCATTCCTATGCATGAGAAATAACATATGGTGTTATTGTCTTCATAAGTAGCTAAGTTAGTCTTTTTCTTGAAGCATGTAGTACCATTTTTATTTTCTCTAACAAATTAATAATTTGACAAATGCTTATGGTGTTATTGTCTCCAAAGCAATGCATTAATATAAGAGACATGTTCATAATACTCATAAAAAAATGCTCAAGATAATTACATACTTTTCATAATGTCATAATCATCTCAATACAATTCCACAAAATGATCCTTAAGAAGTTGAAAAACATAGCACCCTCAACCTTACACAGCCATCAGAAATGAAAATAGGTTTAGGTATAAGATTCCAACCAAATGAAGAAGGCCATGGAAAGTGTAGTTGATCTCCACGTGTCATATGCATTTCGAGTAGAATGTTTGTGCTCTTGTTTTGAAAACTAAAACCTTATTTTGCTTGTGTTTGGTTAAGTGGAATGCTCATATTTTGTAATCGAGATTCTATGGGTTATATACCTTATGGATGGTAAAATCTCTTATGTTTTCCAACTTTTTAAGGATCATTTTGTGGAATTGTATTGAGATTATTATGACATTATGAAAAATATGTAATCATCTTGAGTATTTTTTATGAGTATTATGAACATGTTTCTGATGTTAATGCACTGCTTTGGAGACAATAACTATCTGTAACTCAAAGAGCATGTAATTTGAACCCTTTAAATTGATATAATTATAGGAATTAGCAATGTAGAATAAATAGATGTAATTATAGGAATTTTTTTTACTGTGTGGCTTACTAGTATTGATATTTACTGTGAGATTGTCCGACTGTAATGAGATAAGGATAAAAAAATATGACAAGTACCCATTCTGCCATGTGTATGCTGTGGTGGATGACGCGTGTCGCTATCAGTCTGGAAAAGCTGGAAACTGGGAGGCACGAGATGGTTATGGGAGGAGTGGACTGCTCCTGCAGCTGCAACTAGTTAGTCTTTTGGAGTTTACCGCTTTTCATTGCCTGCTTCTCAAACACCAAACGAAAGTGAACAAAACTTAGAAAATGACTAAACCTCAGGTATTTATTTTTCACTTATTATTAAATTTTGAATTTGTGTTTTTAAAATAACTCATTCGATACTTTGAAATATGTCGTAAATTCATTACACACGTCATTTGAAAACCTTCAAATTTGAATCAAATTTTTGCTATAAATTTATACAGTCAAGAGTAAAGATTATGTAGTACTCGTGAATCTTAACTGTTAGATCATAGTTATTGTAGATTTGTCTAAAAATCTAACAATTAAACGTTTTGAAGAATAGGTACTTCGGTACAATATAAAAAGTATCTAACCCAAAAAGATGCACATATAAGATGCAAAAAGTTACGTTTAATTTACATTTTCGAAAACATGAATTTCATGTACATATTTATTTTTTTTTATTTTTTGAATTCGAACACATTTGGTTTGAACATTGTGGCAAAAAAGGTGATGTTTCTATTATGAAGAGAGGCCGGTTTGATTTTATGGGGAGAAAGAGGTGGTGGTGAACATTGTGACGGCATTATGGGACCAACGCCAAGGGGACGTGCTTTTTGGTTTTGGGGCAGTGCGTAGTCGCACGGGCCAAGGCTAGAGAGAATGACTCAGCCCAACTTCTGTGACTAAAAGCTTTCATCCATGGACACTTGGACTTCACCCAAAACCCAATCGAGAAAGACAACCAGCCTGCATGAAAAAGTGATAACTCGAATGCGTAGTTGCAGGCTTTCATCCAATGTGCCTTCGTACTCGACACACACAATCACTTTCACATTAAAAAGAAGTGTCAACCCTAAGAAATTTAGTCTAGTGAAAAACGAATATATGTTTGAAACTTCCTATACGAATCTGGATGCGGTCCTTAAGGTTACTGACTCTGTTTTCACGTACTTATCATGGTATTTTGATACGAAATTGTGGGTAGAACTTGCTCTTACACCGTGCTGGTGCCCAAAAGCTCATGTAACATAGCTTGCTTTTTCCGAAATGGGACATTGGGTCGCAACATACATTGATCTCTCTTTGGCGTGTGATAATCCCCTGTGAAAAGGATAAAAACAAAATCCAACCTTTCTTTTTTTTTTTATCAACCCTAAGTTTGGTAAAACCCTAATTTTGTCAAGGAACATTTGAACTGATGGGTGGCCGTGCCCTACCTTCATGGATAAGTATGATGTGTTGGAACAAAAGTAGTGACCGTATATTGTGGGGCAATTTGGGACACGAGGAAGATCAGAAGAGGAGAGCAGTTGATGCTATCTGGAATGCACCAAGGCTGTGATGGCCAGGATCCAGGTCAGTGAAGGCTTTAAAAGTTTCTCTCTTTAGTTTCAGATAATTGGTTGTGATTGTATCACATGTAAATGCCTTGCCAACTTAATCTATATGAAATTTTCTGGGCTTATATTAGGTTAGATGATGATCAGATTTTGATCGGAATCATTCGACATATACTATCTAATACATTCATATTTCTCAGCAATACATGGATGGTGTCATCCGCACATTCATTTTTATTTCTCACACACTCTTCTCAATTTTTCGACTATTGGATCAAATGAGTTGAAGCAGATCAATAACAAAAATTAACAAGGTTGTGTGAAAGATAAAATAAATGTGGGAATAATACTATTTTTTTCCAGTCATGTGATGTGAGTAATATCTCATTCATCACGTTAGGTTGGGTTTTTAATGATCATTCTATATTGTTTGCAATAATTGATACTCTTATTGTACATAATTTGAGTTTGAGGCAAAAAGATAAATTACAGTGGGTCTTCGTGTTTAAATTCACACCTGATATTATGTTTGCAGTTGAGACGTCTCAGTCCGAACATAGCTAGACAAACTATCAAACTATTTTAACTCTTCTGACCTACATAGTGCCTGTCATATCATTTGAGCACTCACGATATTGCATGTGTGCTTGTAACTGTTGAGAGTTGTCCCACACTGGTGAGGGACAAAGTTTGCTATGTGCTTATATGATCTTGGGCTACTCTTCATATTGTCAATTGGTTTTATGGAGAGTAGTCCAAGATCATATAAACACATAGCAAACCTTGTCCCTCATCAATGTGGCACAACTCTCAACAGTAACGACATTTGCAGCTGTCCCGAGCCTTGAGGAACCTCCCACATGAGTAACGATGTTGTTATATGTCTCTGCGTTAGTTTACCAGAAGTGCTTGGAAAAACACACAAAGATCATAAGATTCAAATGCGTCTTGAAACTTCTAATGGAATATAGAGCTAGTTAGGTTAAGTTGTCTGGAGGGCTCATGTGATTGGTCTTCTGTTCATACCTCTTCATTCTTTCTTCGTGTCATTTTGGGCAATATCTTATCTGCTAACCGTTCATGATGAGAGAGATAAAAAAATTAACAAGTGATGAGATAGATCGAGAAGAAAAAAGGTGTAAGTAACACGTTACATGTAAATTTCTTTCACATTTAATATATACGTATGTGTATGAGAAGGTTCAAAAAGTGGAGCCAGCATGCATTTGATACGAGATAATGACCATTATTGTGAAGTGGTTAAGGGAGCTTGAGTTCTTACTTTGCAGATGCCTTTTAAAAAAGAAAGGAGAATTTAATTGGGTACATGGGAAAGCAAGATGTTTATTATTAGTGAAACATTTGATTTATTTGAGCAATAAGTTTGGACCCTCCTCCCACTCACTCTGGTAGTTACAGTTACATTCTTTGGTTGGGACCTTTTGGTGCCCCATGCATCAAATGTTACAGTCCTCCGTCTTTCTAAAAGGCTATACCAAAAGGACCAAGATTTATGATCAATTCAAACTCTAATTTTGGGCTTCTTAATTTAAAAGCGTTTTAGTAGAAATATTTTTGGAACCAATTTTTAATAAAAATGTAAGTGAATCATGAAAAAAATACTAGAAGTGATTCTTTCAAAAAGCACATAACTAGTGCGCTTGCATGAAGCACTTCAAGTGCTTTTGGAATCCAAAAACATTTTCTCTAAAAACGCTTTCAAGACATTTTAAAAGCACTTCCAACCAAGCCATTCATTACTTTCTTCAACATGCATTGTGTTCACGCATGTATACGGATACAAGTATGTGAGAATCTACCTTACAACTAACTATATATCTTTTTGTGTGTATTGTACTCATAACATGTGTCAATCGGACTCTACAATAAAAAATATCTTACTAAGACAAACATAATTTTTAAAACTTGAGTAAGGATGTCAGATCACTTCATTCATATAGGATATTTCTCACAATATATAAAACTTTGTATTTTGATTTTACTCAACCCTATGTTAATACCTTAGTTGTCGTGCCAGAGTTTCTCTCCTTGAGTATGTGATGCAGCGTTCGAATTTGGCAAATCATGGCTTGATAAATTGTCTTTTAAGTAGATGAGGCAGTGAAAGGCCAATTCATCACCTGTTTCGGTGGGTAGGTATAGATGGAGACTTATCCTTCTCCAAATTGACAATACCTTGCCCCCAACTAGTCACGGTTGGCTTGCCCTCACATGGTTTAATTTTAACCTGTTGTAGGGGCTGCTCTTATATCTCAATTGCAAACCATTTGGATCATAACATCTGTGGATGTTGCCACAGCACCAAGAAGAATAATAAAGTATAAAGGAAAAATATGGGAAAGTACTTTAGACTCCTTTAGTGTTGAATAATTGTCATCATCTGATCTTAAAAAGGACGTTAATTTGGCTTTGTCTAGAATCCATATGTTGTTTCTAATGCTGAGAAAATAGAGTAAGGCTTAATTAATTGCCTTTTACTGTTGATCATTTGATTAGACAGATGCCTAACAAAAGGTAGAAGAAAATGTGCCCCCAGTAAAGATCTTCTTAAACTTTAATGCCTTTTCCCTTATACCTCCACGAATCAAACTCAATTTACTATCCATTCTATGTCCCTGCATATATGTGAAAGTGAAATATGTGACATATGCATACTAATGGGAGTGTCACTATATAATCTCCTCTTATTAAATTCTCAAAATTTTCCTCTTTTTAATGTAAATAGATCGTGATATAAAACAAATCTCATGTAAAGCTATTAGTTTTTAAACATATATAGTGAGTGTACACTTACACTAAACAATATATATACCTAGTATATTTGTGGAGAATTTTGAAAACTAGCTAGCTAAACTCTTGACATGTAGAAGACTTTTAGTCCACTTTTATAGAGTTTTAGAATTTCAACAACCCGAGGGTGATTGAGGGTGGTTCAAGCTTTTGCTTGAGGAACCTTTAAAAGTGCTCCCGAATTTTAAACATACTATATGAAACCTTGTATAATTATTATCTAATTGTCAAATATAATTCATGTGAATATATTATTTATTATAATTACCATTTTACGGTTGAGATAGTGATTTTTTCAAATACATATAAGAATTCTAATCAAATTTCAAATTTTAACAATATAAAAACTTTAGTTCACAAATCATTTTAACCACTTGAAGAAGATTCAAGCATTGAGAACGGCTTGAGATTGACCATATTTCTAAATTTTGGAAAACAAAACTAAAATATTTACATGCACATATCAAACATTCACAGCTGAGAACCCATATGAAAATAATTATATAACATAATTGCGCTTCTTGTACAAAGTGATCATGAAAATTAACAGGAATGAGTTTCACATGGTGTGAGTTATGATGCGTTGTTTCTCCATGAATCTGGTAGTGGAGCATCTCATATAAAATTCTGATCATCGAAATCGATCGGTACGGTACAATCCCAAAACCGCTGCACTTCTGACGCTTCTTATTTTCCAGCACTCCACAAAAACATATATGGCAACGTTGATGTATGCCAAAAATTTTAGTATGTTTGCTGTATCTTATATGTTGACATTTTTAGCCATTAGATACTAGTCATGAAATATAAGAATCTAACTGTTAAAAAATCAAGCAATATAAGATACAAGTATACTAAAAATCTTAACCTATACATATATATCTCCAAAAGCAAAGTAAAAGCAGAAAACAAACATTCTCAACTGTACATACATAGAAAAAAGGCCAATGCAAGTTTAAGATACGAGAACTTAAAAAGAAAAATGTAGGAAATTTTAATTCCTTTCTCAACCACATATGCATAATCCAATAATATCCAACACAAATGTATGTTTTAGGATGAGGCATTGGAAATTGGTGTTACTGATCTGATCTTGATGTTGTCTACATTTGTAGTTTCGTACACAGGCAAGCCGCTCGAGTAATAACCCAAGTCATAATTCTGCAGCTCGAAAAGATCAGAGCTCGAATCACTCTCTGCACCTTCATCTTCCTGCTCGTCATCAACAACCTCACTGAGCCTCTTGAGCAAACCCTTGTGGTCCTGGTCGGAACTAATCTTATATTTCTCTGATAATTTGAACTTCTCATGATCCAACCAAGTCAGTTCTTTGTTTGATGATCTTTTCTCATCGAATTTCGTATTGTACTTTGATAAAGAAACCGTTTGCTGCTGCTGCTGCTGCTGTTGATATTGCTGCTTGTGATTATCCGAATAGCTTCTCAAATCTTTGTAGCTATTGGAGGCTACCATTTGTGCATGGCTATAAGGTGGAGGTGTTCGAAATCCTGAACTCGATGAGGAATACACGGACTTGGCATCCGTGGTGCTAGAGCTTCGAAAATGACTAATGCTGCTCCTCCTCTTCCTTCTCCCACCCGGGCTCTCCTCCTCGTCTTTCATGGACTGTGTGGCGCTGGATTTCGACTTCTTCTTCTTGGACGCTGATTGGTTGAATAGAGAATTCAGGAAGCTGGCCAGCCTCCCGCCTGGAGAGCTTGGTTGCTTGTACTTCTTGTCTTTGATGTTGCTTTGCTTTTCCATTGCCACGTGGTTATGGTGATTAGGGTTTTGCTGAGGATGATGAAGCATGTGTCTGATAGGCATGTCAAGGCTGATTCTGCCTCCTCTCCATGACGATCTGTCTTCTTTCATCATCCTCTGCGAAAATGCCGAAGTCTTGTTGTTTTTATGGCTGCTGGGAGTTTCATTGTATCCTGAGAAGTACCTTGCAGCTTCAAAAACATCGAGCTCGCCGGAGTCGTTCCTGTGGTGGAACAATTTCTTGTGTATCTTATCAGCTCCGGGGTCTGCTGAAAGCACCCCTGTACTAATCATGGACATGTTTGAGGTCTGTGAAATTTTCAAATTGAATTTGTGTAATAAGAATATGTGGGGTTTTTTTTTGGTGTGCAGGTAAAGCTTGTTTGAATTTGTGACGGGTGTTGACGGTATTAAAGGGGAGGGAAGAGTTGTAAGATAAAAGGAGGGTTTTGTGAGATTGTGGAGAGACTGAAGGGTTTGAAATGATTGCTAGTAGTGGGGAAGCTGGCTTTTAAATAATCAACTCATGTGCTTTTTAGTCTATATAAGTATGCATTTCAACTCTATATGATTGTGTGTTTTTGGAGGTTTTTCAAAGGAGAAAGACTATTACAAAACGAAGACGTTGAACTGATGTTATTTTTCAAATTAATGTTGTAATATAATGTGAGAAACTTAAAACACATGATATCGTATTATTGATCTGAAATGCCAAATGTGTTTCCAATGGTATAACAAGTCATTCTCTTTGAGTGGGGCATATACTACTAAGGGAGGAAAAATCTTTCACATTTATCCTTGTAATGAGTCAGCACTGAGTTAATTAAAACCAGAGGAGTTTGTGCTGGGGATGGTGGGAAAGGGCAAGGGACATGTGTTTCCTTGGATTCTAGGGCTTCTAATCTTTAGGATGAGGAGATGGGGAATTGCCAAATTGGCTCTCAAGTGGGGTGTTGGCTATGCCCTATGGGGGCTATGCCGCTATAGGCATGTAGTGTTTTGCTGACTTTTTTGTGCATATCATTACAGGTTTGGAGAATTTGGTAGATGCTACCAAACTTTTCTGAGCTTGGAAGTCACTCTTTAATAAAATAAAATGGAAGTTTATTGTTGGCCAAGTAATTTTTTACTGGCTTAGATTTTTCTATGGCCCAGTAACATCTTGCTGCCTCCTCTCGTTTAAAGTCTTGGTTTTACTTTCAGAGAAAGTAGTTACAAGGATTGGAATTTGAACACTAATGCATCCTAATAGAAGTTGGTTTAGAAAACTATACTAAACAGTGTCAGTAATCAACTAAAGATTTGTTGGTTGACCAGCCTCAAACTTGCAACGACAAGAAAAATATTACGCACAGTTAATCACGCAAGTGCACATGCATTGATGCGCGAATAACCGTTACAATACTCTTATTATAAATCACATGCGTGAACTACCATTACTCTTCCTAGAAAGCATGCATGCACAATGACAATCCAATGCACTAGGGGTGATGTGATCTTAGTCTAATTTCTGGCACATATATAATCATCTCAGTGGATCACCTTGTAACTTAAAATGGCTAGACAAACTTTTCTTTGGATTTCTATGGAAAAAGAAGGGAAATATTCAAAGAAGCAGAATTTTTCACTGTGTTAGGAAGACGGTTTGATATACCACGTGTAATAATACAAAATTGGTTGGATACTTAAAAAAAAAATTTCTAATTAATTATATTAATACACTTGATATACCAGACCATATTTTCAACTCATTGAAAAATCTCTATTGTCCAAGCCCCACCAGGGAAAAAAGAAGGGATAATCTCTTATCCGAAAAGGAGTATTGTGGGAGAGGTCTTTTAAATTTTAATGCTAAAGAAGTAGACATGCAGCACAGCTTTCATCTTTTACATTTTTCTTTTGGAACTCCTTGGTCTAGTAAATTGATTTGGCCCGCCCACTGAAACAAAAAACATGTAGTCTCTCCCATTCCTTGGTGTTTGGGGCATTCCGGCAGTGTGCGTGTGGGTGCGAGCACACGTGCATGTTTACGAACCAAATATGCACAATACCAATGAATTCACTTATCTCGCCATGCATGATAAATCTACCGTCATTTTCCACCTCCAGATAAGCTCAATTTCTGCATTTGCCAGCAATAAGCTCAATCGCATTTTCCAGGAGGACTTGTAACTTATATTTGCCTCTTATCTGAGGTCCGTTATTGTCCCGCACCAAGAAAAACTCAAATTTGATTGGTCTAGCCAACAAAAATATGGCGTGTTAGGCCGACTGTTACGATCCGAATTATGCAGTACTGCCTAATGGGCCAGAGAGAGGAGACAATATGCTTGTCGTGACTCACAATTTTCCGTTTGTATTCTCTCTTAGCCAATCCTGCATAATCTCTGATAGATTCATTCTCAGCATGTTTTGAAGCTTTCTTTATTGTGCACCATGCATTCTAAAACTTACCATATGGTGTGTGTGACTTGTCTTGCATATTGATCAAAAGTCACAAAATTGTTATGATGCCCCGATGCAATGGATGATTAGATTTACACAGCTGAATTTTGACAATATGCAGTAAAAGAACCTCAAAATTCAAACACGGAATCATATCTCATACACAATATGGTGGAAAAACCTCAAAATTCAAAGCTAATGCAAATATTAAGGCTTTCTTAAGATAAAATACCGATTAACAGGGTTTAGAGTCTTAAGATTATAGGGGAACAAAGGCCCAATTGAAGTCCCCACTAAACAAAACCTTGCGTTAAGTTGCTAAGACAGTATGGCACAGAACCCTAAAATGTCCCCCATTCTCACCCCGTAGGCCATACCGCCACAGTATCCACAAGTCTCATTGCTGGCAAGAAATATTCTCCACTCAAAATCTCAATCAACCTGGGCTTTACGCAATTACCCAAAAGTATAGTTAGAAAAGAAAAAAAAAATTAATAAGATGAGAATTGTTGGAAGTGCATGGAACCCAACTACTTGAATTTTTATGAACTATATGTGAAAAAAATCCTTTATAATAGTTTCTTTTATTTTTAATAACTTTGTCTGAACATTTGAACTACAAGAAGAACTAAGTGCACACATATAGAGCTTCAACTGAGAGATTTTTTTAAGGCTCACTCTACAATGTACTTCAACGATCTAATTGTATATTTTTTATGTTCTCTTGAAGATTAATTTGTACAAACAGTCATCCAAATTCAAAACCATGTAATTGTTAGATTAATCGAAGACATTTAGTGTTTCTTTGAAAACTGTATTCTCATTATATCCATTACAATTGAATGTCTTAATGATTTTGAATTTATCTAATTTTTTACAACAATAATTAATGAATGGTAAACTAAAATATAAGTTGGTCGGCTAATTTTTTACATCTAGTGATATTTATTTTCACTTATAAGTGAGAGTTTTTAAGGTTTGATTATTACTAAAGGCAAATTCAAACCAAATTATTATGGATTAGCTAATTGTAAGGCTAAACCCATTATTCCCCTTAGCATAGACAAAATATCATATGTTTAAAAAGTTATATATAAATTATTTGAACCATTAAAATATTTACAAAATATCGCTAAGATGAAATTATTCAAGAAATCTTAAAGAAAGATATATAAGCCATACTCAAATCAAAACGTGGCCAAACTAGCTACATACATAGTGCTCTACCACCTAAAAGTATCTGCATTATGTTATCCAAATTCAAAGCCTCTTGTCTCTTGGAAAGACATTGCTCCAATATGTCACTTTGAAAAACAAAATTGCTTACTATTCCCAACAAAGACGTCATTCGTGTCTCCTAGCTTGTTTTGAGCAACATGATTTAGAGAAGCACTTGGTGTCCCCTTGTGTTATATCGTTTAATTTTGAATCACTTAAAATCGTGTCGGCCATATATGCATTATAGATAAACTTGATGTTCCAATTTTCCATTTTTGGTCCTTTTGTGTTGTATATATGCACAAGTTTATATTATTTGTCGATGATAAAAAATGCAGAGAACTTATAGTTTAACTTGTTAAGAATATTCATATCTTCATCTAACTTTTTGAGGTCGATTTCTCTTTCGTTTGAAATTGTTTTAATAAAAAAAATGTTGACTAAAGATGTGATAAATTCCACTAGGAGTGAGAAAATTAGGTGTATGATAGACGGAAAAAAAAAATTGTATTAGCAATATAAAGTAGTCATACTCCACTCATATTTATTTATTTTTACTAAGGAGAAGAATTTAGAATGTTAATAACAGTTTTATAACAAGTTATTGGATATCCTTGTGATTTCTATTTCTTCCCATGAATCATGTCTTTTTTAGTTTTTAGAACGTAGACAGTCGAAATTGATTGATTTAAAACATAAAGGACCAAAATTATGTTTAAAATTATGTTTTTACAATAATAAAGGACCATTTGTGATTGAATAAACCTTTTATTATTGACTCAAAGTTCTTTTGATTGGAGACTGACATTGGGCTGATATGGGATAAATAGGTTCAGCCCAATTGCATTTAATAGGTCTTACAAATGTTTTTGGCCCTTTGGGCCGGCCTCTCTTATGAGCTTAAAACACAAAAATTGTGAACGATTGTGGGGCCCAATTTAGTTCAAATTTCAGAATCCTGGTCCTCTCAAGAATTTCATGAATTATATTTATTCATCGTACATCGTGTGATTAAAAATTATTTTTAATATTTTTAATTAAACTTAAAAACAAACAATATATGACAAAAACTAATCGAGTGATATATAATAAACGAACACGATCAGATCCTCAATCCTCACCAAAAAAATCCGAAAAGAATCCTGTTGGCAAATTTCAATCCTTTAGTACAAATTCTTCAAAATTGTGTACCTTTGGGTTTCAGCGTCTGACACGTGTTAGGGTGGTCCATTTACTCCTGTTACCCTCAGTCATTGTGTCTTTTCTTGGGCCCGGGAGGAAAAGGCCAGTCCATAACACCGCGTGATGACGTGCATCGTTTCAAGGGACCCCCTTCGGCCCCTTGTATGTTATTGGATTTGGAATGTTTGACCGCGTCATATAGAGTACTCTTTTAGCCATATCTTTGTAAATAAGTTTTTTGAGATTTGTTATTAGTATTTTAAAATTTTTAGTTTGCACTACAAATTTTTTATATTTAGAAAAAAATAATACATTTACGAATAATGCAAAATAAGATTTTGGAGTGTCAATAACTGTTCTCTTCTTATATTATTATGTTACGAGAATTAGCTATAATAAAAGAAAGATTTACTTTAAGGCAATACCTCTGAAATTCAAAATAATTCCCAACATATTAAAGTGAAACTTTAAAATTAGAGATACTTTTTTTACTTGTTTGGTTGTTTGAGATTGAACTGATGAAAGTTATGTTTGTAGTTATTTTTATTTATTATTTAATAACATTTGAAAACTTACAATTAGTGAGTCCTAAAATTTATTTTGATTTAAGTTATTATTTTTTAACATAAATATATTGTCCTATTTTTTTTTCTAAAAAACTATCTTAAGAAAAAATCCTTTTGTAAATTTCGAACGAGACCCCGAAATCTTAAAAACGGCACTGCACTGGTACGCCCATCCGCAAACGAGCCCTCTTAATGTTCCCCTCAATGTCCCCTGACAACCCCTGCCTCCATCCCCTCATCTTTTCCTCCTTTTTTTTTTTCCTTTCTCCTTAACTTCCTCTTTCTCTTTCTTTCACTCTCTTATGTGGCTGGGAGACCCAAGGCGCGGTTGACGACGAGATCTAGGTGGGGTGACCTTGGATCCAAGGTTGGAAAGGCCACCCATTGAGCTCTCTGCCGTGGGTGCTTGGTGTTGATGGTGCATTTGCTTGATGTTGATGAACTTGCAGTTGTGCACAACATATGTGTGTGAAAGTAGTATGGCGGTTGAGAGAACACACAAGAAGCAATGGGTCATTTAGATTTTCTTATTATTAAAATAGTTTTAGTTTTATTATTGAAACTATCAAATGTTCAACTTATTATTATTTTTTTTTTCAAACGATATTATCTATACTAAAGGAGTGGGAGAGTATGCTAAGCTTCACAGTAGTTAGCGATAATGTGGTTCAAATACGCATGTAGTGAGAATCGAATTTAAGATCTTTTTTTAAAAAAATTATTTTAAATTTTTGGTCCGCGTGGCTTACCATCAACATAAGTGGGTCTCACTTATGCCATATTAGCAATTTTGACAGATATGTTGACGGACTTGGACGCTATGAATCAAAGTGAGACTAGATTTGAGTTTTACAAGGTTAAGTGACACAATTCAAACCTCATGGGACAAATTAGTGAGATTGACTTCTAATTTCAAGATGCATTTCCGTAAATAAGCCTAAAAGAAAATTGTTTATTTTGATCATATTTGAAAGCTGCCATATCAAAGTTTCAATCTTAGATTCGTCACAAGAAAAATAAAAGCCAACGCCGTTTGGCTAAAGTGACCTTTCGACCAAATTACAATTCGAGATCATATTTTCATACGTTTAATTATATAAGTCTATAAGTTCAAATTTGGCCGTCACCATTGAGATCCCAAAAAACACGTTTTCCATTTCCATGAACTTTATAAAGCTGAAGCAAATTTGAAAAAAACACATGCGGCTTTCTGTTGAACTGCAAATTAACCATTGATATATCACTAAGTAGCATTTTAGAATCCACCGTAACCATGGTCAATAAATACATCACAAGATAATAGACCAAACTCAATATTCGGCGACTTACAATATTGGATTAATTTCACCTTGTGGAGAACAAGTGCTTTTAGTTTTTAGTCTTCTAGAAATACAGTGAAACATAATTAAAATCATGGCTAGTTTTGAAATATTTTTAAAATGATTGAAAGCGTTTGTGGTGAAAATTGTTTTTGAAACCAACCTTTAGTAAAAATCAAAGTGGATCTTAAAAAACACTTGAAGCGGCACATATCCGGGGCTTCTTTCAAAAAGCAGTTAAAAGTGTTTTTGGAACCTAAAACCAATTTCACCAAAAGCGCTTTCAATCATTTTAAAACTACTTCCAAACGAGCCCTTAATTAGGATTATTTTAGTCTATAGTATAATATACAAAATTTCACTTATTTCTTGCATTTTATTTAGTTACTTTGCTCTATATATGTACTTATAAGTTGTGTCTCACTTTAGCTCATTTCTTTTAAGAAAGTGTTATATGGGTATTTGTCACATCTCGATCTAGACCCTCACCACAATCCGGGCTTGACTTCATCGTAGCACAATATTGTCCGTTTTGGGCCCCTACCACACCTTCACGGTTTCGTTTCTGGGAACTCACACGAGAACTTCCTAGTGGGTCACCCATCCTGGGATTGCTCTCGCACGCTACTCGCTTAACTTTGGAGTTCCGATGGAACCCGAAGTCAATGAGCTCCCAAAAGGCCCCGTGCTAGGTAGGGATGAGAATATACATATAAGGGTACAAGATCCACTCCCCTGGACGATGTGGGATGTTACAATTCACCCCCCTTAGGGGCCCGACGTCCTCATCGGCACACATCCGGCTATGTATTGGCTCTGATACCAAATTGTCACATCCTGACCCGGACCCCCACCACAACTCGGGCTCGACTCCACCGTAGCACGGTATTGTCTGCTTTGGGCCCCTACCACACCCTCACGGTTTTGTTTCTGGGAACTCATACGAGAACTTCCTAGTGGGTTACCCATCCTGGGATTGCTCTCGCGTGCTACTCGCTTAACTTCGGAGTTCCGATGGAACCCGAAGTCAGTGAGCTCCCAAAAGGCCTCATGCTAGGTAGGGATGAGAATATACATATAAGGCTTACAGAATCCACTCCCCTAGGAGATGGGGGATGTTACAGTATTGCTAGGGAGACCAAATTGTTTAAATCAAATTTGAAAGCTAAATGATGTTGTTGTAGATAATTGGATTATTAACTATGTATCGATTGACATGCTTGTTTCTTATTGGTGCACATCATTTGGTTTAAAATTTTGGTTTCCCTAATATTATCCCTACTAAATATATCCAATGACCCTAAGCCTCATTTGTAATCTTAGCTAAGGCAAAGGGTCGAGAAACTCAACGCCGTTATTCTTAGACAACTTGGAGTCCTTTTCGCACTATTATGGATACAAAAATAATGAAAAAAATTGGATTCAAATGTCTAACTATTCCTATTAGAATCGGCAATAAGATTGACAATGAATTTGAGCCATAGCACATGATTTCAGAAAATCATAGAATATTCCTGATCTAAATAAAGTAGGTTTTGAGAAGCCTTTTCTTTCTATTTTATTTAAGTGAAATAATTTCTCACAGAGAAAGTCCTTCCTAAATTTGATTTTAACTTTAGTTATCAAGTTATGAATTTCAAGTATTGATTGGTGAAATGTGTGACTTTTTGAGCCATACATATTCCAGTACGGTGGGCATCCAAAGGGCCAATTGCGGCAATGAAAGTAACTAGATAGAGTTTTATTTTATTTTATTTAATCACTTCTTGAAACTTAATCCTAGAAACTTAAATTTTGCCAATTATTGTTTACAAGACTACAACCCAACTAATATCTCACTTTGTCTCCAACCATTAAAATCCATAAATAAACCCATTGAAACTGTTTTTGTGGTACAAATAAGACCCGCTGCTTAACTACCATGAGGCTGAAAAATTACTAACAAGTAGAATTTTTATTCAAAATAGGAAAAAAAAAACACTATGAACAAAAAAAAATTAGTGACACGCTGAACAACAATCAGTTTCAGTTGGGCCACATAATTACAATTTTAATGAATTTGTTGACGGCCCTTAATGATAAAGGCATAGCGATTAGTGAGGCACAAATTAAATTTTAAAAAGTTAAGAAGTGACTCAAATTAAATTATAAGAGACAGTTAGTTAAGTAAGTTTTTGTGAGTGAAGCTGGAGTTAGCTTTAGTTTGACTGGGGTGACCGTGCCCAGGACATTCTCTCATCGACCAGTAAAAACCCTAAAGTTGAAAATGTCTAAGATGGAGTCGACATTGCTGTCACATTTTTGTGTAATAAACTGTGAAAATTGTGAATGGTCTACTTCATCTTCAAAAGAAAACTGAAAAAGAAAGAAAACAACACTGAGTCGGTCGTAACTCGTAACTGAGAAGGGAAAATAACACCCAATAGGAAATACTGCACTCCTGCTTATTCTTTCCTCTGTTGCATTATCGTTTGGTATGCAGACGGGACGAGACGGAACGGGATGGGACGAGACGGGACAGGACAGAACGGAACGGAGCAGGAGCAAAGATGCCCTCGGATGGAAACAAGGAGGAAGAAGAAGGAGACGGAGAGGTTATAATTTTGTGTTCTACGGATGTGGAACGAGTCGTTCCAAGGGGGTGAGGTGGAACGAAAATTCACCCAAAACTCGTCCCGTGGAACAGCTCGTTCCACCCGTTTTAGGCGCACCAAACATGGGACGAAACGTCTTGTCCCGTTTCGTTTCGTTCCGTCCCACGTACCAAACGGTAAGGAACACCCAACAAGGAGGTGACAAAAGTTCCTCAAAAGTTCTCTATCTCTCTCTCTCTCTCTCTCAAAAGCCTAACTTAGCTTACCCTAAAGAACACGAATCTCAAAAAGGAAAACAAAACCTAGTAACATAATATAATAATTTGATATGTATGCAATCACTGAAATATATTTTTATAATATAATAAGTTAAAAGAAGAATGGGAAGAGGGAAGGTGGAGTTGAAGAGGATCGAGAATAAGATAAATCGACAGGTAACATTTGCAAAAAGAAGGAATGGGCTGCTAAAGAAGGCGTACGAGCTCTCAGTTCTCTGTGATGCTGAGGTTGCTCTCATCGTCTTCTCCACCAGTGGAAAGCTCTATGAGTTCTGCAGCGGCCCTAGGTATGTACGCACCCTTTATATATATCTCTATTTTTTGATTATCTACAATATATATGAGAAATTTAGTCAGATCCTGTTAAAAGAAATTTTTGGAAGGGATGTATTATTGTTTGGATTTCCTGTTAGCCCCTGTTAACATTATTATATAGCCATGTTAAGAAGTATTCACTGCATCAAAGGCCAAAGATGAATTTCTTCAATATTGCAGACATTTTTGTTGTTGTTAGAGAGTTGCAGATCTAAACGGTTAAGGAGGAAGATGAGACTGGATCTATTGAAGATGAGACTGGATCTATTTTAACTTCACAAATTTATCTAAATATTTCATTTGAAGTTTATTTTTGTTTTCGTGTCTTTGCCACGTCTTAGTAGTAATCTTAATTAATTTTTACTTAGAAGTGTTAGATCCAAGAGCTTATAAAAAGTATAAAAATATTTGTTAAAATGTTTGTCCTTTATCCTATCCTATTTTTGTAGGAATTTTTGTGGGATTCTGTTCGTCTGTTCTTATTTGGAGTCCAGTAATTTTTAAGCACTTTTTAATACTAACAAAAATTTGCTACGTAATTAAATTTTAGGGGATATGGATGCATATTTGGGGAGGTAAAAGGGTGACTTATAATAGAGGAATTGTTTGCTTCTATTCATTTCATTGTCGAATTTGAGACGAGTTCATTTTTCATGAAATTTAACTTTAAGTCATACAATCATAGGGGAAGGCTTGCAAATTTGCAATATAAATATACGTTAGATGTGTTATCATATCTTTAAATCGATACTTTAGAAGATGCTAAACTAAACGTATAATAGGATTGATATAATCAATTCAAATTGTTTAACGGTCTATTTTATAGAATTGATGAGCGATTGGAGAGTTAGAAAATATAAACGTAGCCCGCTTTTTGGTTCAAGAAAACATGGCCCTTTAATAAGCATGTAAGCTGCAAGTGCTCAGAATCAAGGTTATAGTACTTAGCGGTAATCACCCTTATTCTAAAGTTGTATCTTAACTGGTGCAAGTCCATCAATAAATATACAAGGACGATACTTCGGTCCTCACCAGTCAGGATCCTTTATACTGACCATCCTAAGTGGAACAATCAAATAGTGACTCGTGTCTTATTTAAATTTAACTAAAATTGGTTGTCAAACATTCAATATTCTAGTATCCAAGCATCCTTCTTTCTCCATCACCAACCTTTGCCTACCTATGTCGTCGTCGGTGGTCGATATCTCACCCCCGTCTACTCCTCTCCTCCGTCGACCACGTCCACATCTCCTCCTCCGACCTCTCTTCTCCGTCAATCCCACCAACCTCTCTTCCTCCAACCTACCTCGTCAACCCCGCTCCCAATCCATCCTCTTCCTTTCCCGATGCGACCATGGCAACAAGGAGTGGGCATGTGCAGAGGTGCTTCTATGTCTTCCACAAAAAATAATATGAGGGATTTGAAAAGTGGGGGGTTGGGGTCCGAGAGGTTGGAGAGGGGATGTCGATAGGGTCAACATAGTAGAGGTTGGAGGAGAGGATGAGGCGGTCAGCTCTCCCATGGCATAGGTAAGGGATAATCACAAGTGAGAGTTGGTGTTTGATTATGAGGATTACAATAGTTTGGGAGAATATTAAATGAACAAGTGTTATAATTCTACTGCCCACATAATATGGTTAGCAAATTGGGCACTTCGCGATGAGTGTCCAAGTATTTACGATATATAAACAACATCAACAAAGTCTTATTGCATTAAGTGAGATCAGATGTATGAATTCTTGAACGTCATTGTGCTCGGTTTTACGCAAAGTCTTCCGTTAGCTCCAAGTACTCCATGTATTTTGTTAAAGTCTATTTTCAAGTCTTCCTAGGTCTTCCTCTACCCCTTTTGCCTGAGCCTTTATCTCATAATTGCATTTCTAATTGGAGCATTTGTAGGTCTTCGTTTCACATGTCGAAATCACCTTTGCCAATTTCTCTTATCGTATCTTCAATTGTGGTCACTCTTATTGTACCTCTGATATCCTCATTCTTAATCTTGTCATTTCTTGTTTGCTCTCATATCCAACGAAGCATTCTCATGTCTGCTACACTCATTTTTGCACATGTTGATGCTTGACTGCCCAACATTCTGTGTCGTAAAGCATTATTAACTTTATTACCATCCTATAAAAAAATTCTTTAGGTTTAGTAGCCTACAACAGTTGCACAACATACCTGGTGCACTCTTCCACTTCATCCATCTAGCTTGTATTCTATGGTTGAAATCTCCATCCAACTTTCCGTTCTTTTGCAAGATAAATCCAAGATAATGAAAGTGTTCACTCTTTGGTACTTCCTAATCTCCAATCCTCACCCCTATCTCATTTGGACCCCATTCCCACTAAACTTGCACTCCATTTACTTTGTCTTTGACTTACTTAATTTGACGAAGACATTTGGATTCCTACACTTCACACCAAAGGTTAAGCTTCACATTTACTCCCTAATGTGTTTCATCTATCAACACTTTATCATTTGCAAAAAGCATATACCAAAGGATGTCATATTGAATATATCCCATTAACTCAGCCATTACCAATGCAAAAACATAATAACATAAGGCTAAGTCATGGCAAATACTCAGACATATGTGATCATAAATTCATAAGCTGAACTACTGGTTGTGTGGAATCATAATTCTAAGATTGTCTTCAAAAGAGATGTCAAATTTTAAAATTGACAATCTATGCGGTATTTTGACATCTTCTAAAGTTTTTCTCTCCAACCCATATGTCAAATTTTAAACTAAATGATTTAAACCAATAAAAATCACAGTCAATCAACCACTTATAAATTTATAATAAATGTTTGAAACAATAAAAAATTAACAAAAAGCATTTAACAATTAATGACAAATTATTTGAAGCTGCTATCAAATTTGACAGCAATCCCCCCTGTTGCCAATCCATGTCATGTCATATAAGAATTGACATTTCGATTGAAAAACACTTATATTATCTCTTTTTACTATTATTGTGGATGTAGAGTCTTTGACATCTCATTTAGAGATGCTCTAAGACCTGAAGGCTATATTTAGACGAGGATTAGGAATTTAGGCTACATATAGTTAGAATTGCACTATAAAAAACTAGATTGTGGGATTTTAAATGAGTGGATACAATGCATTAAAAAGGGTCATTTGCAAATCCATTATTTTTGTCTTTGTAGTGATCATGTAAAAAATTCAAATACTTCGCAGTCCACATTTCCAGCTATATTTAGCCTAAATCCCTTGGTACTTGTAAATCCTTCACCAAAGCATAACTCAAATGAATAATTATATAGGTGTAGACGCACCTTGCACCAATAAATGCATTCCTACACATATCTCACCTTTTGCGAATAATCTATCTTCACCGTATAAATTTAATAATTGATACTGTTTAATTTCTTAAGCTCCATTTGAAGAACATCCATACATAAAATCATTTGAATTGGAAATCAGTTATGCATCCAAATGTATGAACAAATTGACAATGTGAGTACTAAACAACATATACATGGTAAACCGTTCATTTATTTGGTACATTTAGAGATTGTTTATGTGAGTGTGTGTGTGTGTGTGTAAGGGGCGGGGTCAAGGTTGGGGACAGATTTTTTGACACACTTTCTTAGGGTCACTTCATAATGTACTTCAACGATCTTACCGTCTATATTTTAGTTCGTCCTTCAAGGATTATCTATGTCAAAATCACCCAAATCTGAAATCATATGACCATTTGATTAAGTGGTAGTCATTTTAGTGTTTCTTTGTAGAACCGTATTTGTCCGTTTTTTCCATTACAAAGAATGTCTCTTAATGGTATTGGATTTGTCTATTTTTTTGCAATGATAATCTATCAATGATGAATTGAAATACAAATTACAGAATGAGAACCACAATAAAGTGTGCCAAATTGTGTCGTCCAATCCTAAAAATTGCAAAGGGTGGATCGTATTGGTGGATATGCCTTTTGACTCACTGTGTTTCGAGTTTAAATATTTTCCTATTATTTTTGTAGTTTATAGTAGTAATATCACTTGTGATTAAAAAATTTGGAACCGTATAATCAATTATATCTTGCTCCCAGATTTTGTGGCATGCTTTTTGGCTCTTACTTTACTGGCATTTGAATGAGTGCAAAATGCATGCGCTCTTTTCTCTTTTGAATTTGCATTCTGATCACTGTCCTACAATTGTTGCTTTGCTTTCATTACAGCATAGCGAAGACGCTTGAGAGGTATCAAAGATGCACTTATGGAGAACTGGGAGCAAGTCAATCTGCTGAGGACGAGCAGGTTACCGATAGTTTGTCATTTGTAATTAGCTTTAAGATGCATAACTTCAATTACCTGCATTACATAAGTTGGGTAAAGCAACCTATATTATCCGTTATTCTTAAATTCTCAATCTGTTGCTAGGAGAAAATTTTCAGTACATTTAGAACACTGCCACACGGTGTTACAATTATTCTCAATCTATTGTTAGGGACAAATTCATGGGGTTGGGTTAAGTTGTATGTTGGTAATGGAATTTCTTCCACAAAATTCTGCCCTACGGACTTTTGACATAAGCTGAACTTGTGCCATGCATGTTCACAAGCAGAGCAGATACCAAGAATACTTGAAGCTAAAAACGAAGGTAGAGGCCCTACAATGCACACAGAGGTATACGTATATCGATCATCTATATACATACACATACGAAAGGTTGTTCAATGATCGCATGAAAAATGCAAAGGTCGACACAATTGGAATATTGCTCATGAAAAATTTTACTTGGCATGTTTTTAGACATATTCTTGGGGAAGATTTGGTTCATTTAGGCATGAAGGAGCTTCAGCAGCTTGAGAATCAACTAGATATGTCGTTGAAGAAAATCAGGTCAACGAAGGTATTCATAATTTGTTCCATAAGCGTGAAAAAGATGGCGAGTTATTTAAACGAAATTTTAACAAAGAATCTCGATTCATTTGTTCGCAGACCCAATTTATGCATGTTCAGATTTCTGAGCTTCAAAGGAAAGTAAGTATTTTGCGAACAACACACACACACACACACACACACACACACACACAGAATATAAATGTATGTATGTAAGTTACCGAATCTTTCAAGAATTAACTGTGCAGGAAGAAATGCTACTGGAAGCAAACACTGGACTGAGAAGGAAGGTACGTAATAATAAATTCCTGCTCAGACCATTATTCATTTCTGTTTTCGATGCAATGGAAATCCATCATGTCGTATAATACATCTTAATTACTTATTCATTAAATGATTACAATATTTCAAGGTCAAATCAATTAGTCCTTATCATATAGGTTTCCTATCCTTAATTGTATAAACACTATCGGGCTTGTTTGGTGCTTAGGATTGAAATGGATTGGGTAACATAAAATTCAAGGGATATTAAAAGTAATTAAAGATGAATGATTTTTTATTCTAAGGGCCGGGGTTCAGAAGGGGATTAGATATGAATGACATATCTTTTCTAATCCTACCATTCGGGGAATTGAAATATAAAAGTTTTCTTCACGAGTCATATTCTATCTTCCAGTTGGACACTATCTTTTCATTCCTTCCTTCAAAGTGCCTTGAGTATAGTAAGTTATTCATTTCAATCCAATGCTAACAACAAACGATGGAGGCCTTCCTTTTAACAACCGTACATTGTCATCTAATTGTTTCTTCATAAGGATTCTTGAATCTTGTTAGTTATTCCATTTAATACGTTTTTCAGATAAATAATTTGGTCAATTTAATTGGGTCTAAATTTTCGTGTTTTGCAGTTGGAAGAAATTACTGCAGGCCCTCAACGATCATGGAATAGCAATCACCAGGCTGCTCAATTAGAAGGATTCCCTGAGCATTTGCAATCCACCAATGCATTGCAGATCGGGTACTATAACCATATATCTTATAGGGATTCTGTCAAGCGCATGAATTTTTCTGCAACGTTAATTAATGAATTAAGTTGCCTTAATTTTTTAAGCTGTCATCTAAAGTATCCATTAACTATTACTGCAACAGTACTCCAGTAGTAACAAATGACGAGGCGAATGTAGCAACGTCCTCAGCACAAAGTGGTACGGGATTCTTCCCCGGTTGGATGCTCTGAATTTCGAATCATGCATGGTAACCAATCAAAGAGTAGTGGTGACCACATGTGTTGTTTCACTTATTATTAATTCTTGTCCAAAAGAATAAGAACGTTAATAATTTGCTGCCTAGTATCTTTTAATGTTAAAGAAGGGTTCATTCATTCATGAGACTAATGCCCAAGAATTCATCGCGATTGTTGTGCCCTAAAATATTTCGTTTTGATTTTAACTTTACCAGTGAGTAGCATAAAACGCTTGTATGATGTTCGTGAGACAGATCACACAATTAAACACTTGCCCTAATTCATTAGAATTCATCAGGTATGAAATGCTTGTGTGATTTTTGTGAGACCGATCACGCAGTTGAACACTTACCCTAATTCATCAAGATCGTTGTGCCTTGGAAATTCCTTTGTATTACCAAATGAGCAAACGCATGGCTAGTAGCTACATCTACTCGTTGCCACGTGCCATGACTTCTTTGCTTATTCAATCTAAACTACATATTAATAAAAATCTAGTTGTCAACTAAAATTTTGGAAAATTATCATTCTAATCCTCTAATTAAAACTGATCAAAAATAAAAATTATGGGCAATTTAGTAATTACAAGAACACAAAGTTTGCTATTTTTTTTATGACGCATCACCCATATGTGGTTTTAACATCTCTAATATTAAAAAATAAAAAATAAAAAAAAACCTCTCTCCCCTCTATCCTCACTCCCACGTTCTCTCCATGTCTCTCACTCTCTTACTCTTTGATTCCATCTTAAAAACCAAAATAAAAAATATTCATACACACTTTGTGTGTGGACATGTGCTAATTATATATTACGTAAACTTGTCTACTACTATAAGATCATGGACACGGACATGACTAAATCTTCTTTTTAAAACTTATTTCCAAGTAATAAAAAAAATCTAAATTGGTATGACCTTATGTGGGGACGAAGATGAAGACGATGAAATGAAAGAGCATAGCTCACACTATTGGGGTGTCCAAGAGATGTAAAAGGTTGTGTAAAATTTGATGGAGAGACAGCTGCGAGCGTGGTAGGTTTCAGAAATTGAGGTGGACGACGACGAAGATATAAAAGCCATCCATATAGTTGGTGGACATGACATGGCCTTAAACGGCGGACCCTTTTCATTTTATAGGGGAATAATACTTGACTATTCAAAATATATAAGTATTAGTTTTATTCGAAATTGTTCGTTGCTGATTATAGTACTTCGTATTTCTGATCCAAACCGTTCATATTCTAAATCACTCAATGAAATCACCTTTGCAAAAAATCAATTAAAAATAAGGTCGTTTAGTCATCGAATTGTATAATGACAAATGAATGGAATTGGTAAAAACATTACAAGTGCTACAATACATTGACTAAACGACCTTATTTTTAATTCATGTTTTGCAAAGATGAGTTTATAGAGTGATTCAAAATATAAACGGTTCTGATCATAAGCATAAAGTTCTAGTCCTGCTAGATGCATTACGTAAGAAAATAAGATATGATAAATGCTAAAAACTAAGTGAGGCACCGTTAGAAAGAGACAACACATCTTAAAATCTGTTTCAGATTGCTAAACAAATAAACTTAAAACTTAATTGAAATTGCTTCTTTTTTTTTTTTTATTCGGTAAAACTCCAAAGTCAATTGTAAGATTGATTGATTTGGGTGTTTGGGTTGAGATTTGAATCAATTAATTAGTTGTTGATTTGAGTTTTGAATCAATTGATTGATTTGGGCTTTTGGGTAGGATCGAACTTCTTCCTTCTAGGAGGAAGACGACAAAAAGTGACACATGAATGCACAATCATTGTCCACGTAAGAGTTACGTTACGTTTTAGCGGAGTTACAAACTTTCAACCTAATAAAAGTATGAATCTGGGAGAAAAATATAACCTTAGTATGATACTTGGATGAAAAAAAAGAGAAATTTATTCATTTTTGGAAAACCTCGATGGCATAAGAGAAATTTATTGACATAAAAAAAAAAGTTATATATAGTCAGAGGGATATAAACCTTACTCCTCATAGAGCAAGAAAAACAAAATACAAGAAAAAAGGGGAGGGACATACACCTTACCTCTCTTGAATAAGAAAATACAAGAAAAAGAAGGGGAACATTGACCTTACCTCTCTTGAAAAATAAAATACAAGAAAAATAGTGGGTGGACATAGGCCCAACCCCCTATAAACATAAAAGGTAAGAATTTGCAAGACAAGTTGCAAAACGAAAAGGAAAGTCCAAAAAGATTAGGTAAAAAAGAAAATCACACATCAAGAAGGGGAGACAAACTTGTAGGCTGGCATGCCCAAGAAATTTGAGTGTAGAAGAGAAAAAATCTCTATAGAAGGAGCGGCATGTCAAGCAAGTGAAGACGAGATAAGCTATAAATTGGCTAATTTGTCAGCAACTGCATCCCTTTCTTGAAATGTATAAGAGCAACGGAATACCATGTTTTGCAATCAGAAAATACAATTTTTTCAATGTGTCTGGAGCGACCAAAGAGAGAGAAAGATCCAAAAGCAAAACAAGATATCACACTAGAAGAGTCACTTTTAAGCCATAAATTTTGCTAACCCCGTACGTGGGCCAACTCCACAGTAAGGATGATAGCATGAAGCTCCGCATAAAAGGAAGTACGATGCCCCAAGCTTAAGGAGAACTACCAAGAAAATAACCTGTAAATCTCGAAAAACCTCAGCAAAAGCTGCATGACCCAGGTAGCAAGGTCATCAGTACCAAGAAAATGGTGAAGGATGTCAAAGAAGAGGGACTATGGATGGAGCTTTACAAGATTCAGCCGAGATTGCAAGAGAGATTAAAAGTTGCTTACCCAAAATACCTCGTCCATGACCAGGGTGAAAACTCTAACCTGCCTAATCCAGACCGAAATGAATGGCAAAGGCGTGAGAAGGAATAAGGCTTACTTTCAAACTTCACTTTATTACGCATCTTCCAAATAGCCATTAGCAAGAAAAACCATGAAGTTAGCCAGACATTGCAAAGTTGTAGAGAAAATCGCTTTGACACAAAAACAAGCGAAAATCTGAGAAAGAACCCGTAAGCAGAAGAATAGTTCCAAATTGGGTAGCCAGCCAACACCAAGCCCATTGTGCAAAATCACAACTAAAAAATAAGTGTTCAATAGATTTAGAATTTTTGTAACATAATTAGCATATTAGAACCAGCGGAATGCCTTGTTGCTAAAGTTGATCCTCCGTTGGAAGCTTTTTGAAAGAATCTTTCAAACTAAAATAGAGTAGCGAGGTGGAATGAACAGACGCTGAATAATGGATGCCCAACTCTTAACAGAAAATCGATGACGAACAATTTCATAGCCATCAGAAAACAAAAAGACTCTAGATGTAAAAGCTTTCCAAATTAACATCTCCTTCCATCCTCTTCTCTCACATTCTCTTACTTTGTCTTTCTTTTGCTATAAAAAATTAATATAAGATATTTACATGGTTTAACCGTGACCGTTCAAGTAGGAAGGGAAGGAAAGGGAGAGAAAAAAAGAGAGAAGACAATCATCCTCCACTGAATAATACAAAGCGCAAAGAGATAGTGATATACAACTAAATATTGCTTTCTTGTCAAACTGATCATGAACACATTGTTGGAACGTGGGACACCGAAGAGCAACCAAAAAGATGTAACAAAAATTAACAAGCTTTCGACCTACCAGAAGAGAAATTTATTATTGTGACGGAAATACGAGTAGTATATTATATGTTTTTACATAAGTGGTGTGAAATTTTATTTTTTAAATTATTAACTTTTTAACATAGATATCTCATAATTTATATAATAACACGTAATGTAACACCTCATGTGCTGGTCATACTAACAAATCTCTCGTAGCAGAGACTAATGGGATCAAATCACGGTAATTTTTACCACACAAAAAGTGGCACTGTGCATACGTACGTCAGCTGGTTACTCGTCGAGAAAAAAAGTAACGGTAAAGCTGAAGGTCCGTACAATGCATACCTTAGACTCTTGAGTCCGGCAGGTAGCTGGTACCTAGTGAGCTACACCGGTATGTAAGAAAAAATCGAGGTTTCTTTTCCTGGCCCCGTTGGAAATAGAGAAAACGACTACGTAGTACACCTCAGCTAATCAGAAGTCGACAACACATCCCTTAAAACCCCACCGGTTTTCCCAAAACCACTTGTGTTCACAAAAACCGCTTAATCTATCATCATATCAAAAGTCTGTAGAGCTAGTTACAAGCACATACATTTTCTCAGGCACCTTCACATATTTGGCTATAAGAAGAAACTTTGCATAAATTAATATTCCCATTAAATTGTAACTATATTTCTTTCTTTTTTGTATATAAATCGACAGCCTACCAGTTCATTTTCTAGGTTGTCTTTCTTTTTCTGGGGGTTTCGGTTGTTTGGTTCTTTTTTGAGAAAGAAAATCAAAGAACGAGCAGTTGAAAGAGTGAGTGGTAACTGAGAGTCCATAAATATTTAATCATGGGGAGAGGTAGAGTTCAGCTGAAGCGCATAGAGAACAAGATCAACAGGCAGGTGACTTTTTCCAAAAGAAGCACTGGGCTGCTGAAGAAGGCTCATGAGATTTCTGTCTTGTGTGATGCTCAGGTTGCTTTGATTGTCTTCTCCAACAAGGGGAAGCTCTTTGAGTACGCCACAGATTCATGGTATACTATTTTCTTAATTAATTGTAACTCCTCATCTCAAATTTTATTTACTCAAACCTAGCTAAAATTTCTACCAAAGAAAAAACCTAACTTCTCTTTTCGAGAAACCTAGAAATTTGTATTTGTAAGAAAGTAAATGGATTTAGAAACGCCGCCTAAGAGATCGAGCTCAACCTAGCTAAAAAATTTCATATACCTTGCTTTGATAGAGCATCTCCAACAATACTAGCTAAATTTTTGTTACTGTAGCTAGCCAAATGACCCAATGTTAATTTGGTTAGCCATCACTCTCCCAACAATACTAGCTACTTTAGCTTAAGTTAAAATATTTTATTATTATTTTTTCCTAAACTTAACACTCCAATCCCTTTTTCTTCTCTTGAAGCCCACAAACAATGCGATTTTATAGTTTTTAATGTTTAACCAAAAATTAACTTTATCTCTTCTTCTAAATCTAGCTAGTTATTGTTTAC